ATTCAATTCAGTAATCTTATTCCAGAATTCTCATTATCACTGACTAGATGGATCAGTCTCTTTCATCCTCTCTGAAACCAGCTTTGCCTTCCTTCTGAGCCCCTCTTATACTTCCCTAGGGCTGTCATAACAAACTACCACAGACTGGGTGTCTTAAACAACAGACGTTTGTTTTCTCACAGTTCTGGAGGCTGGAAGTCCAAGATCAAGGTGTCAGGAGGGCTGGTTTCCTCTGAGGCCTGTCTCCCTGCCTTGAGCTGGCCGCCCTCCTGCTGCCTCTTCACATGGTCTTTCCTCCGAGCACCTGCAGCCCTGACGTCTCTTCTTCTTCGTAGAAGAACACTAGTCACATTGGATCACGGTCCCAGCTTTAGGACCCCATTAAACATCAATTACCTCCTTAAAAGCTCTGTCTCCAAATACACTCACATTCTGAAGTACTACCAGAGGTTAGGATTTCGACACACACATTTGGGGGGAAGCACAATTCAGCCCGTAACATCCCTGTAATTAATTCATCTTTGACACATGCTCAGCATACCTTTGTATGAGAATTATGTTTTTAATTTTTTGAAAATGATGCTTTGCCAATACATCTGTCGGAGTCCACAAAGTCTACCTGTTTCTGCTGCACCAGGGTGCTTCCTTGAGGGCTACTGGTACATTAACATCAATTCAACAAGAAAAGTGACTCTCTAACGTGCAGTGTCAGAGGTACCACATGCTTCTTTTCTCTTGTCCTCTCAACCAGTCTGCATTGAGTTCTCGTACAGTGAGAGTCCTTAATCTGTCAGATCAAGAATCGAACTCTGTCACACAAAGCCCCAAGGAATTCAGCAGGGAACCTTTTTCAGCAAACAAATCCAAAGCTCCTTTTTTCTGGCCACCGAAAGTTTCAACAATTAGTACATTCTTTAAATAATGCACATTTCATATTTGTTGTCAAAAACATTTTGGAATTATTGACTGATTAATTTTACTATCTTATGAACTTAATCTATAGTAAGCTCAAGATCATATATCAAATTGCATTCCAGAGTTGGGATTCATATTCTGGTCCCATAATCAGTCTCCTGGGACACACTGCAATTTCTCATCCCTCATTATAGGAAGATTTGCCCATAGCAAATGTCAGAGAAGAACATCCCCAGCAACTTCTCAATCCATCCAAGCAAATATAATGGGGCTTGCTTTTCCCCAGAGCTGAAGTTACCTCAGGGCGGGAAGTTAAGCATTAGGCTCTGAGTCAGAGCACTGAGCTGAACAGCCCAGGGCCAAGCAAGAATGAGTGAGAACTTGGAGACGTGTTTTTATCAACTATGGTGAAGTGGGACAGCACTCATTTTGATATCCGGGCAAGTTTTCCCATCTCCCTTCATCTGGTAATATGCCCTGCCCCCCCTGGCCTGACCAATCATGTCACCCCTTAACAATAGTGATTGCCCCAAGGGGTGGGCATATGATCACAGAGCCAATCAGCGCTCCTCCTGGGACTGATCTACTGAAACTAAGGAAATTATTCTTTTTTAAGATCGTAGGGTAAGAGCACTGGACTAGAGATCAGGAGGCCTGAGTTCTAGTCCCATCTTGATCATGGGCACATCATTTAAACTCTCTGAACCTCCACTCCTTCATCTGAAATTAGGGGCAAGTCAGAGAGAATTCTATTAGCACTTTCTAACCACCCCACCCCACACACAAGTACACAACACTTTCCTTTGGCCCAATAAGAATGCATTTCTACAACAACTCTGGCTTTATTTTCCTGCAAGAGGGACACCTTCAGGTTTGCTGCGGCATCAGAAGAAACGCTAGCCCAAAGCAGGTGGGGCTCCTTGGATATGCCACATGTGCCGCTCTCTTCTCCCTAACCCTTCCCGAGACCCTTTGCCAGAAGGCTCCTCCAGCTCTCATCCAACTGCTCAAATTTGGATGTGCTCTCGGATGGAAAAACTGCAGTGACACCACCGGACATTGTGCTATATCAAACGAACTCACTAGAAAATACGCACAGGGTGTCTGCCAAATCATTTTAGAAACCTGCTGGAGCTAGATTAAATTAAGCTGATGACTAGACCAAGTCGTCAGGCTAAGCGATTCTCATTCCCTCATCTAATCAAAACTCAGCCAGATCATTCCAGTTCCTGCATGTCAGAGAATTTAAGAGAAAGTATGTTAAGTTCCATGAGATTACAGATTTGTGTTTATTTTGTTCATCACATCTCTAGCATCAGAACCATGTGTAGGCTCTCAATACATACTTGATTGGATAAACCCTGACAGCCCAAGAGTTTCAGTGATTAGCCCAAGTTTGCCCAAAAAGGGTCAGAGTTGAGCCTAGAGATCAGGAGCCTAGGCCTCAGGGGCAGAGATACTGAACAGAATAATAATTGTTGTGGTCTTACTATGTGCTAGGTATTATTACCATGAAAAGTATACATTATTTTACTTAATTCTTACAATGTTATGTGGTAGGTACCACTATCATCCCCATTGTACAGATAAAGTTTGTCTAGCAGGTCACAGTGCAGGACTATTCATCTATTCACTCATTTGGCAAATAGTTACTGAGCACCTGCTATTTACCCAGCACCATGTCTAGCACTGGGGATACAATGATGAACAGGACAGTCATGGAACTTATATTCTAGTGTGGGAGACACTGAGTTAGCATGTAAAACACAAACAGTAGAGTTGTCTGTTAGAATACATGCTGTGAAGGAAATCAATGGAGGTGATGGAGGGAAACCGGAGTAGAGGGAGAAGTCTCCTTGGGTACAGTGGTTGGAGAAGGGCCCTTAAAAGAGGGAACATGCAGACTGAAGCCTGGAAGATGAGAAGACCCCCTTGTGATGAGCTGGAGGAAAAGTGTTCTAGAAAGAAGAACCAATGCAAAGGCCTAAGGGACAGAAGGGCCTGGATAGTTGAAGGACTAGGAAGTGTGGCAAGAATATGAAGATAAATAAGGAAAGGGTACAGGATGAGTAAGGAGGATAAACAGATTACATCTCTTTCTGCAAGAAAAATAATATATATTTTTAGAATATGTACATACAATAGATTCTTTTCTTGGGAAAGAGATCATTTTATATATATAATTTACATATGTATGATCTAAGTATGTTATATATAAGAAATCACTATGTATATTCTTGGGGAAAGAGATAATTATATATATTATATATGATATATGAGATATGAGATAATTATTTATAAATAATGCATATATTCTTGGGGAAAGATAATTCTGGGAACTGAAGATAATTTTTTTAAAAACTCTAGAATCTTGCCCTGGCCGGTTTGGCTCCGCAGTTAGAGTGTTGGCTCATGGACCAACGAGACCCGGGTTTGGTTCCCGCTAAGGGCACGTACCTCAGTTGCAGTTTGTTCCCGGCCCCAGTTGGTGTCGTGTGGGTGGCAACCAGTCGATGTTTCTCTCTCTCTCTTCCTCCCTCTTTCCCTCCTGCTCTATCCGAAGATAAATGCAAAAATGTCCTCAGGTGAGGATAAAAATAATAATAATAATAACTCTAGAATCTTTAGAAAGAGTACAGCACAAAACTAAAATGCTATGAAAAATAAATAGAGAAAAAAACAACAGGAAAAAACACTTTGGGGGATTAAAAAAAAAGACTCATAAATTTTTAAAGAATTCAATAAAGGGATTGGTATATCAGTCACTGAAATCTCAGGGAAAGAACAAAAAAATAAAAATTATTTTAAAATATGAAAGAAAAGGTTCACTCTCTGATTAAATGTAGTTCCAGAAAAAGAAAATGGGGGACAAGGGGGCGATGGAGGTAGGAAATTATAAATAATAACAAAAATAAAAAGGGATTCTCCAGCCAGAGTTGGTTGAGCGTCCTCCCATGCACCAAAAGGTTGCCGGTTTGATTCCTGGGGTTGTGGGTGGCTGTGATCAGAAAGACCAAATACAAGACTACTGCAGTTATCCAAGTGAGAGAGAATGACCCTGGAGTGGGACAAAGAAACTGGGCATATTCCATATATATTTTGGAGGCAGAATTGACAGAACTCATTGGTGGGTTAGGTGTGGGAGTGAAGAAAAGGAAGGAGAGGGTGACACCAGGTACCAGGAAGAATCATTTGGTATCTTAAGATATTATTTGCTGAGATGGCATGGACTGGAAAAAATTCAGATTTGGGGTACGATTTTTAAAATCCATTCATTGAAAGTTTTGAAACTCCAAGTAAAATGCAAATACATATCTCAAGGCGGTGTTACTTTATAAACCATTATTGGCCAGTATCAATCCACACTACTGGTTGGTAGTGAACCAAAGACAAGAAAGGCACTACTAGTGAAGAGGTAGGAGACCAACAAAGAACAGTATTCACCTTTTCACAATTTGTATTCTTTTGCAATATACAACCTAAGTAAAATTTTCTTTTAAAATGTATTAACCACTAAATATTGTGTACTTTTTAGGGTCCAGATCCTGTCCAACAAAACATTACATGGATTAATTCATTTTTTTCCTTACAAGCCTATGAAGTAGAAAGTTGTATAAACTCCATTTTACAGATGAAGCACAGAGGTTAACATGCATAATTGTCACACAGCCAGCAAGTGTGCAGTTTCTGTATTTAAACCAGGCAGTCCATGTCCTGTGCACACACTCCTAACTGTTGTAACCTACACTGCCTGTCTAGCAGCTTTGAGACCTGCACCCTGCCCAGTTTCCAGCAAGACTGCAGCTCCCAAGTCCCTCCTATCTAGAATGTCTGCAGCAGTCACTAGGCTAAGGTCTCCGTGCTCAGGAACCTTGGTTACTCATTTACTATGTTGCCTAAGAGATTCTCTCCATTTTTGTTAAATACACAAAAAGTGCAATGCTGGAAAGTTCTTCCTGAGGTCTAACCTCTGACCGGTTCACACAGCCTGCGAGAGAGGCCCTTGAGCGCGGAGCTAAGCCGCGGTGCCTCCGGCCCACGACCACTAGGTGTCGCCGCAGCGTCCCCGGGCCGGAGGGCGGAGCGGCCACAGATGGCAAGGAGCATGTGGGCGTTCGGACGCCGCTCGGCTGCCGGCCTCCTCTCCCGTTTGGCGTTCCTGGGCTCGGCCCAGACCCAAGCTGGAACCCCACGGCCGGCCAGGAACATCCCACTCAACGGCCGCCGCTACCTGCGCGCCAGGAGGGCCGCGGCCTGCGCGCCCAGCCACGCGGTGAGTATCCTCTGGGCAGCTCCGGGGCCGCGCGCCGACGCCGGGAGACTGCGCACGCCGGGGACGCTGTGCGCATGCGCGCCCGCTCCAGCGCCCCCGGGCACTGCGCTGGGCCGGGGCTGGAGTCGTCTCTGGAGAGACTGCGAACAATGCCCGGCAGACGGTGAACAATCGAGAACGGGCTGCAGCTGTAACTGGTCATCGTGGCTGCTCCGACTTCTTCGTTACCATCCTTTTCAAACACGTCGCCTGCGCTCCGCACCCCCCATTCCTCCTCTGCCCACGGCTCAGCCCCGTGTTCTCTGCCTTCTTTCTTGCAAGGGCAAAACCGACAGCCTCTGACCCCTTCTCTGAGTGCTCCCCGGAGTAATCTTTGGAGAAAAAAGTATTGTCACCAACCCCTCGGTGCCTTCCCAGGATGAAGTCCTGCTGCGGCCTTCGCAAGGCCTGTGGCCCCCGCCTCTCTCCACTCTTGCTGCACCGCTGTCCTCTCCCTCCAGGCTCGGTGCCCCCCGCCCCCCATTCATCTATCTCTTCAGCTGCTCGGTAGGGCTGGACGTAACCGACGCAGTTAGGTATTGAGAGAAATCAACAGGTCACCTTGTCTCCTGCAGATCATGTTAATTAATCATCTGTCAGACAGCGTCTGCAGTCAGAACCTCTCTTCTGCCTCTTGCTGTTTGTTGTTGCTTGTTTCAGTTAAAAACTAAGTGTCCCTGATGCGGGTCTCGCCTGTGCTAACAGCCTAGATAGAGCGGGGCTGCCCAATGGAACTTCCTGTGATGATGGACTTGTTCTGTGTCTGTGCCACCAGCCACATGAGACCACAGGGCATTCGAAATGTGGCCGATGTGACTAAGGAGCTGACTTTAAAATTTTTATTTTATTGCAATAAAATTACATTTAAATGCTGTACGTGGCTGGTGGCTACCATACTGGACAGCACTGGCTGAGAGAGAGACTGGGAAAACTCAATATAATATATTAAAAGAAGGTGAAAAAAATTCCTAAGAAATATTCCTGGAAAACTAACATGGTCACTCTCAAATGTAGAAGTGGTGAAATTTAAACTTTAATGGACTGCAATATACTGAGAATTGGTAAAATTCTTCTTAACTTTGGCTTTTAGGGCTTGAGCATCCACTGCCTCAACCAGATGCTGAATGTCAAAAAGCAGAGTGTCTGTTTGATGAACTTGAGGACAACAGGAACTTTGGGCGACGCAGGGTAAGATAAACACCTTTCACATCAGATATCACTCTTGCTCTCATTCTGCTCCGCTCTCCCCAACATATATACACATACACACACTTCTATTATCTTTTTTTTTTTTCGTTTACCTTTAAAATGAAAAAAAAAAGACCATCCCATACGGAACCTATTTTCTCCCTTAGCAGCATCACTCATAAACATCTCTCCACATCACTATCTACCACATTATTTTTAACTAAATAGTATTAGATTTTTATGGATGTACCATAATTCATTGAACCCATCCCCTATTGTCGAACTTTTAAGTGGTTTCCAGAGTTTTGGTTAATATTCTCTTTGATATCTTAGTAGTTAGGGTAGACAAGTTTCTTGAGCAAATAGGCCCAAACTATAATGGCTCAGACCAGGAGTAGTTAGTGTCCCCCTCTGTGGACAGTCCAGTCCTCTGTAATAATTCAGGGAGCCAGGCTCCTTCCGCCTTCCTGTCACCTATCAGTGCTTTACTGTGCTCTGCATAGTCAAAGCCAGGTGGCCCTGTCCAGGTTCTGTTCCACAGAAAGGGACAAGAGCATGGAAGGCCTGGAAGTGGTACTTGTCCCTCACTCACATTTTATTTTATTTCTTTTTTTTTTTTCTTTTTTTAATCCTTACCCAAGGACATTCAGATAGAGCTGGGGGGGGGGGAGAAACATCGATGCGAGAGAGACACATCGAGTGGTTGCCATGCACACAACCCCACCTGGGGCCGAGGACAAACTGCAGCCAAGGTACGTGCCCTTAGCAGGAACTGAACCCGGGACTGTCTGGTCCGTGGGCCGACGTTCTAACCACTGAGCAAACCGGCCAGGGCTCACTTACATTTTAGTGGGAAGGACTTGGTCACCTGGCCCCAGATAGCTGCAGGTAAGGCTGAGAAATGTGGTCTAGTGGGTGCGCTGGAAGAAGGAGGTGATGGGTTCTGGTGGGAAGCTGCCAGGCACTGCTCCCATCTACCCTCTGCCGTGGTACTTGCACGGCCCCTCCTTCCGCCCTCCACACACACTGCCTCTAGCCCCAAAGCTGCCACCACAGCCGTGTGGTCATGCGTCTACCTCAAAGGCCATGATTTCCAGGTGCTCTCTAGTCTTCTCTCCCAGGTCTAGGAATGGCTTCTCTGACCACACACACACACACACACACACACGGAGCGGGGCAAGATAACTAGTACCACAACTAGTACCATTCAGAAAAGAGACATGTCCCTGGCCTGTGGTAGTGATGGAGTCCCCCTGGGAGTCTCCTCCTTGTCGGTTACCCGCCTTGGTCACAGCGGAGGCAGGCAGCAGGAAGTGTCCGGCTTGGGGTCCAGCTGCCTTTGCAGCCCACTTCCTGCTGGGAGCAGTTTGGGCTTTCACAGGCTCTCATGTCTTTAAGGCTTCAGTAGGCTCTTGTAGGCCAGACTCATTTTCCTGTGATAATAGAATTTTCTCAAAAACCTAGTAGGCTTCTGATCTCTTTACTCCCAGTCAGTCCTGTGGCCAGTAACCATATCCAAACTTCTGTCATGGATGGAAGCCCCAACCTGCATTCTTTTTTGCATCCTCCCCCATGCTCAGCTCTCTCAGTCTGTTTTTGCAACAGGATTGGATCCTCTTTTTTTGGCTTAATGAGAAGCCTTTGTTGTTCAGAGCCTCCTTTGACTTTTCCATGTTTTAATCCCCCAATGCTTCAGATCTGCAGATGTGCCAGTTTCTCCCGGCTCACCTGTTCCATGTCACACCAACTAACAGCAAGGAGCCAGCCATACACAGGAACATTCTAACTGTCCCCACAACTACAGGCTGGTACGCACGCGGTCGGCCCTCCAAGTTATCGCAGCAGGTTGACAGAGGGCCTCTCGAGGCCCAGCCTGCTGTGTCTGTCCATTGGCCCCTCCGCACAGCCTCTCAGCCAGTGCTGCGTGCTGCCTATGTTAGGTTTTCACTTTGGTGGCAACGTTTGCAGCTCCTCCCCACACAGACTCTGCTGCTGTCCCCTCACCCCTGCAGGTGGCCCTCTCAGGATGCCCCAAGTCCAGCTCCCTTCTTCAGGGTCTACTTCTGGCCTCTGGGAAGCACACCTTTGTCCTGCCGTGAGTAAGAGGACAGCCCACTTCTGCTATGGCCCAACTGGCTGCTGTCAGGTAGCGCCTGCCACGCTCTTGACTTTGGACTTTATACCTGAGTCAGATGTGTCTTATGTTCCCACACTCCTCAGGACACACGTCAGTCTGTTCTCCAGGGTCTCTCAACACACCCAACCAGGCCCACCACTCCCTTTAAAGAACAGCCCCTCACCATCTCCTAATCAGTCCTGTAGCCTTCCCTCATCTTACCCTTGAGGCAGGTGATGGGCTGGGTTGGTGGGTGGTCATATGGCAGATCTGTATGTCTTGCATGGATTTATCTAGCAGCCACTGGTGTCTTTCCTTAGGCCTCCTGGGAACTCTCAGATGATGGAGTTGTCTAGGATGCCTCTTATAACCTACACATATGTCCTCACAGGGACACATAAGCTCATACAAGGATGTTTATTAGAGCAGTATATTTATTGTTATAATCCACACACCATAAAATTTACCATTTAAAAAATATACCATTTTGCCCGGCCAGTGTGGCTCAGTGGTTGAGCATCGACCCATGCACCAAGAGGTCGCTGTTCAATTCCTGGTCAGGGCACATGCCCAGGCAGTGGGGGCACGCAGGAGGCAGCCAATCGATGTTCTCTCTCATCGATATTTCTGTCTCTCTCTCTCTCCCTCTCCCTTCCTCCTTCTTTAAAAAAAAAAAGTACCATTTTGTGATTTTGAGAATATTCACAAGGTTGTGCAACTTTTACCACTACCTCCAGAACATTTTTATCATTCCCAAAAGAAATAACGTGCCTATTAATAATCACTCCCCATTTCTCCCTTCCCCAAACTCCTGGCAACCACTAGTCTACTTTCTGTCTCTATGGATTTGAGGCAATTTCTTCAAATTAAAAAATAGGAAAATCTCCAAGTCATGGGTGCTGACGAATTTTCAAAAACTGAACATAGCATGTGACTCAAAAATAGCTTAGGAAACAGAATGTTAACAGCCTCCCAAAGCAAGCCTCCTGCTCACTTCTAGCTATTAACCCCTCCCTGCCCCATTCTGATTACCAACAGCCTGGTTAATTTTGCCTGGTTTTTTGCTTTACATAAACTATATCATTAAATATGTTTATGTGTGGCTTCTTTCAGTCACCATTATGTTGTGAGATTTGTCCATTTTGTTGTATTTATAGGCATTTCTGTTTTGCTATGTAATATTTCGTTGTATGAATATACCACAATATTTATCTATTGTATTGGGCAGTTTGTAGTTTGGGGCTACAGGGTACTTCTACTATGAATATTCTAATATATCTCTTGGTGAACATAGGTATAGATTTCTTTTTTATTTATTAAAGTATAGTTGACATACAATATTTATTAATCTCAGATGTACAATCACTACGCTGGCGACACTTATATACCTTATGAAATGATCACCTTGATAAATCTAGTCACACTACAAAGCTATTACATTATTAACTATGTCCTATGCTGTACATTATATCCCTGTAACTTAGTTAGTTTATAACTGGACGTTTGTACCTCTTAATTCCTCACTTATTTTTCCCATTCCCCACCCCCACCTCTCTGGCAATCATCACTTTGTTCTTATATCTGTGTGTCTGTTTCTGCTAGGTTTGCATTTCTGCTGGGTACATACCCAAGAGTGCGACTGGTGGCACAAGAATATATTCAATGTCAGTAGATCTGCCCAACAGTTTTCCAAACTGATTTTCCCATTTACTGGGCCATCAGTAGTATCTGAAAGTTCTGGTTGCTTCACTTCCTGGCCAACTCTTGACATGATCTGTTTCGTTCATTTTAATCATTCTGGAGGTATCTCTTTGTGATTTTTTAATTTGTATTTTCCTGAAGAGTAACAAAGTTTTACATCTTTTCATATGTTCATTGGCCATTTGTATATACTTTTATTTAATGAAATCTGTTCAAGTATTTTACCCATTTTTCTATTGGATTTTCTTTTTCTGATTGTTTTGTAAGAGTTCTTTTTTTTTTTATCCTTACCCAAGGACATTTTTTCATTTTTTATTCAGATAGAGTGGGAAGGAGAGAGAGGGAGAGAGAGAGAAACATCGACGTGAAAGGGACACATCGAGTGGCTGCCACCCACACGACCCAATCAGGACCAAGGACAAACTGCAACCAAGGTACATGCCCTTAGCGGGAACCGAACCCGGATCTCTCCGGACTGTAGGCCGATGCTCTAACCGCTGAGCAAAACCAGCCAGGGCTGTAAGAGTTCTTTATATATTTTAGAAATAAGTTCTTTTTTAGATATATGTAATGCAAATACTTTATCCCAGTTTGTGGTCTGCCGGACATAAATTTTAATAATAAAAGCAACGAAAACCTCAATGTCCAGCCAAAGGGGACAGGTTGAATAAATAACATAAGATAAAATATTATGAAAACCCACATGTGCTAATATGGAACAATTTCCAAGACGTATTAATGAAAACTATTATGCTTCATTTGTATATTGAAAAGAACATAAAATTTTTGGAAGGACACAGAAGAGACGGTCATCAAAGTTGACTCTGGGGATGGGGCTGCCTATTGGGAAGAAAGGCTCACTTTTCTGTTAGCCCTTCATTCTGTTTAAATTTTTACTCTGTACATGAATTCCATCAATTTCATAAATCTAAGTAAAAAACAAATGGGATTTGGAGTAGTTCGGTAATCGTAGGTTTCTGGTGGTTTTTGTTTCCCTCAGCTCTCTGGATGACACCACCTATGAAAGACTGGCAGGGGAGACCCTGGACTCCTTGGCAGAGTTTTTTGAAGACCTTGCAGACAAACCTTACACATGTGAAGACTATGATGTCTCCTTTGGGGTACCTCTTCACTTTTTTCATGATTCTGTTTCTTCCTTGAGAATTTTAGATCACTAAAATAAAGAATTCCCCTCCAGCAGAGGTCAGCATGTGGTTAAGGGTGAGACCAGAAGACTAGGGTTCACATTCCAACCCTGCTCCTCCAGTCTTGTGACCTTAGGCAGGTCATTCAGCCTCAGTGAGCCTTATTTTTGCTTGAAAACAGATTCTCAAGCTTCACTCAGTACCCATGAAGGTAAATCAGAAAGGAACCCAGCATGTGTTTGTCTCATCGGGCAGGCATGTGGACGCTGAACTGGACCACTAGTTCTAAGTAGGGTAAGACATTGCCCAAGAAGTATTCAGACCGCTCTGGCATGGCCCCACTCCTGGGAGATTCTGATACAGCGGGTCAGGGTGCATTCATAGGAAGCACGTTTTTTTTAAAAGCTCACCTGAGATTATAATGTGCATCCCTGGGTCCCACCCCTAGGAGTTTTTATTTAATGAATCTGGGATGTGGCCCAAACAAGGCATTTGGGTTTTAAAGTTTTTTAAATCCCTTCCCCAGTTCATTCTAATACACAGCTTGAGCAAGAACTTCTGGGCTCCATGAAACGAGCCCCAAATCCTAGAAGCCAAGAGAGGGCTGGTCTGAACCGACTGGCCACCAGGTGGCAGACTTTAGCAGTGGTCCACCTTTGGATTTAGAGTAACTTGTTTAGGCCATAGGGAGCAGTTCTTTTTTGCCTTGGGAGAAAATCCCCTGCAGAGGTTAATCCTCTTGACAGCATTTAATTAATACCGGGAAATGTCATGAAGTGTGCATTTTGGATTAAATCATGGAATTATTTAGGACAACCAGCTGTCAGGCTCAAGTGATAGAAATACTGTTGGATATGGCTGTTGGAGCACTGGATAGAGAGGAACTCCCACAGATGGAGCAGGCAGCAAAGTCTCGGAGGTGTCAGGCCTGGTTGTAAGGAGAGTGAGGGATTTGGTAAAAATAGAGGCAATGGACAATAAAGGAAGAAATACCTTCCAGGCAGTTTTAATGATTACTGTCAGCAGCAGAGAATGCACCAGTGTCCAGGCAGGGTTTTAGAAGTGCTTATGCAGACAGCCTCAGACAGCAGAGCTGCCTGGGAACCATTACAAACTGGCCAACTCTACTGTCTGTGGGATGATCAGAGCTGGGGAAGTTACAGGTCCCCCTTCTCAAGCTACCAGGGGCTGTAGCTAAGGAAAATCAAGTCTCGAGCTAAACTCTGCCACACATGCAAACATTTATTAACATGTCCCCCAAACAGTCACAACACCTGTTCTTATAGTACTGGTGAAGCCCCACCGTGACCCAACTACTTTGCATAAATGTTTTATTAGAAGCAGATGTGCCAGTATTCCAGCAGCAGGAGTCTGTTCACCTCCTTGAGTCCAGCAACAAAAGCTTCTGCTCAGAGGTGGATCACAGGACCTTACTGAATCCTCCCTCCAGTCTCTTTGAAAAGAGATTCAGTTGCTGGGCTTTCCAGATCCTGTAACACATTCCTACAAGGGAAGAGGCACCTATTTTTTTCTGGCCAATCCATACACCTTGAGTATCATCCTACTCATCAGTAAAACATTATTTCTAGCAAATTGTTTGCCAAAGGCACATAGTAGCTGCCTCAGGAGTTTGGACTTCTAATTAAATACTTGGAAATGCTAACTACCCTGGAGTGTGAATTCCTGATTAGAGCCTTTCAGGTGCTATCTTACCCATTTCACATATTTCTTCAACGTAAGAAACATTCAAACCTGTAGAGAATTTTTGTGAGTTTATTTGAGCTAAACTGATGACAATTGCCGGGAAGCAAAATCTCAGCAGATTGAGAAGACGCTCCAGAAAACTGGCAGTTCTGTACCCTGCTTTACACGTTACAATCAAAGGAGAGGACCTAAGTGGGTTACATGAAATCCACTGGTGAGAGATTAGGGAGGTGGCAGAAAGCAAAGCGGGAAACTTCTGGACTGGATATTTTATTTAATTAATTAATTTATTTCTTAATCCTCACCCGAGGACATTTTCCCATTTTTTTGTTCAGATAGAGTGGGAGGGAGCGAGAGGAAGAGAGGAAAAGAGAAAGAGAAACATTGACGTGAAAGGGACACATTGCGTGGTTGCCACCCGCACAACCCAACCAGGGCTGGGGACAAACTGCAACCAAGGTACGTGCCCTTAGCAGGAATCGAACCCAGGTCTCTCTGGACCACAGGCCGATGCTCTAACCGCTGAGCCAAACCGGCCAGGGCTGGGACTGGATAAAAGTAAAATGATAGACACATCCTTTTACATAGGTAAGTACAAGGATAGTTAACAGTCAGCGGCTAACCCAGTAACAGTGACGGGATTTGTAGTCTCCGATCTGTTGCAGTACCTGTGCTTTGAGTGGTCCGGAAAAAGGAAATTACTTTGATATTCCAAAAGTATGTTATCATAGATGCAAAAAGACAATAGACAGACTTAATTAAAGTAAAGATCGACTTTTGTCAGGGAAGATTCTAGCCTAGGACATGAGTACCCACTATAAACTGCTTTTAGTTAATAAGTTTACATTTCAGACCATCGCCCTGGCTAGTTTGGCTCAGCGGTTAAAGCATCGAGCATCAGCCCGCGGACCAGAGAGACCCAGGTTCGATTCCCACTAAGGGCGTGTACCTCGGTTGCAGTTTGTCCCTTACCCCAGTTGGGGTCGTGCGGGTGGCAACCAGTCGATGTGTCTCTCTCATGTCAATATTTCTCTCTGTCTCTTCCCTTCTCTCTCCCTCCCACTCTAGCTGAAGATAAATGCAAAAATATTCTCAGGTGAGGATAAAAAAAAAAGTTTAGACCATCCTCTGTGGTTACTTGGTCTCTGTGTTTGCAAGGCCGCCATGCCGGCCTCCCCTGAGCTTGTCGGTTTGGTACAGACCACAGAATACCTCTGGCACTGCTTTCCTGGAATACAGCCTCCCCGCCCTCAGAGTTCTGGGGAAGGAAGACGTTTTACTCTGTCCTCCTAGGTTCTCCCAGCCGGTCTGATAAATCTACATGAGACAGAGAACAGGAGAAAACAACCCAATTTAATTACATGCATACACCTGGGGACCTCACATACATAGAGTCAGAGACCCCCACATACGTGAGAGGCTCAGGGACAGAAAGGTAAAATGAGGTGGACATGGCATTCTGAGCCCAGGATGAGGTCAGGCGCCTTGAGGCTTCAGAGGGGAGGAAGGTCATTGCAGGGCAATAAGAACAAACGTTTAGCAATTAGAAGTTTGCCCTGTCGTATAAATATGTCATAAAAAATTATTTCTGGTAATAACTTTTATTATGGGCAAGGCCTCAAATTTAAATTCTTTAAGGGAGAAGTAAAAGTTTCTTTTGGGACCGCAGGGTCTAGATTGCCTTCAGCTCAAAATCATTCACATGCCAAAGGGGTATACCTTGGAGAGGCCTGTTCTGAACCCCTACAGGGTCCAGTTGTATGCTACCTCCTCAGTGAAGCCCTCCTGGATGCTGCAGGCAGACCACCGGTCCTTCCTTGCCCAACACTCTGAGGGTGACTCTGCAGAGCATGGATACCCTGTGTTCTAATGTCTGTTTACACGTCAGCTCCCATGAGTAGACTGAGTTTCTTGGCAGGAGGGACACTGTCCATTCTTGGTACCCCAATGCCTGGAGGAACATTGCCAAGTAGTAAATGTTAGTTCATTGTGTAAATGAAACGGGGCCCACATACTTCTCCAAAACACACTTTCATTGACGCGACTCAGCATTTATAGATATTTTGCCAGCTTTGCTACTGGCCAAGTTGGCAATTGAAAGCAGTATCCAGATACAGCCAAGAAAAACATTTGTTCTTTTAAAAAAAGAATATGCTTGTTGCCATGTTCTTCATGCACTAAGTTGTTGGTATATTAGTGTTATAAAACACAGGTTTCTTAACCTTTTAGGGTCATGACCCCCTGTAAGAATCTGACTGCTCTAACCCTTCTCCTGAGAAAAACTTCTCCATACACACATCAGAGCAGTTTCAGCGTCAGGGTGGGGCTGTCTGCAGATCCCTGAAGACGCCTCTGGGTATCAGGTTATGGACACTTGCTTCATGGTGATTATTCTTATTCCTCAAGGGGAAGTCGTTGTCTATTTTAGGAGGGTAGGAAGCCACATAAACATGAAATCCGTAACCTAAGGTGCTATCCCATGTGTGTCTATTTCTGTAAGTCAGTTGGTGACAATAGAAATTGCTATTTTTGCTTCCACCTGTGTAGGGCTGATCTTGACGGGTGGGAATTAATGAACCTCACCAGCTGTGGCCAGGGTCTGTTCTGATGGATTAGTGCCTGGGTTTCAGCAGCTGCTAAATGTTGTGGCTATCTCTAACGTCTCAGCACCCCTCCTCCCCTGCATTTAAATCTGCCCACACTCCCAAAATAGACTCAGCTTGCTACCTGAGGAATAGCAGTAGTGAACAAAATGGCCCTCTTCATCTGGTCTGTTGCAGCCAAAAGCAGTGAGAACTGGCGATCGGGTAAGGCAGCTAGTTTCCTTCCTGCTCTTGCCACTTGCCCTTGGAAATAGTGTCAAGCTCCATAGGGAAAGAAATCTAATTACACACAAAGGAAGGAGGGTGCTGGGGGAGTGTTGTGACTTTCTGCCCCACGTAACCTTGCCCCTAACTTCGGCACAAGTTATCACATTACCTGGTTATCATCCACTCCGTTCATTCATCCACAGAGGAATTTTGTATCCACCCAGTATTTTGCATGAAGAATGGATGTGCTAGACACTAAGATGCTAGGGCGGACAGACCAATCAGCAAGCAAAGTGATTTAAGTAGTGGAGAGTAGGGGGCAGCTTTGCATTATTTATATCACTTGTATTCCTAATGTCTCTATAATTTCTCTGCTTTTTTAATCAGAAAAAAAAAGGTTATTAAAAAATAATCCAATATAGTTCTCCCCATCCCATGCCTGTCAGTTATATTATTAGTGGTACTTTCTTCATCTTTTCAATAGCTCTTTGTGTTTGTGAACCGAACACAAAATGTAAGAACCATTCAGGGTCCCGGGTTGGACAGGGACTCTGGAAGGCACAGAGAAAGGACGTTGTGTGTCTCTGTGGGTTATGCAGGGATGGGGAACAGCGAGAGGCTCTCCAGTCCACAGCTCCAGTAAAGGGAACTTAGCGGTGTAGCTGTTTCTTTAATACCCTACGCATTCTAAAGAAACCTCAGGCCTTGGGACTAAAGGGCTCCTTTGTTGAAAGAATGTTTTCAAATTTAAATGAGCATTTATTGAGCACAGTTGAACCAACTGGTCTTTTGAAGAATTCAGGGCTGCTAGAGAGGAAAACAAAGCTGGAGAGAGCGGCCGAGAAGCTTGGAGATGCGCGGGAAGGGTCTGGAAATAAAACCCTCGTCTGGAGTGCCTGCCTTCTCCCAGCAGAGCTGAGGCTACTGCTCTGCAGCAGACAGGCAGAGCAGGTGGTTCGATTACTGCCTTCTCTCTCGCCTTTTTTCCCTTTTTTGGTAATGAGCTTGTGTGCCATGTTTGGGCCAGCGTGGTACTCCAGGAGAGCTGGTGTCTGAGTCTTTAATGCCCTCTCGTATGTCTGGCTGGTGGCTGAGCAAACAAGGCCGCGATCAGGATGCGGGTTTTGCCATTTAGCACTGTGGGCCTCTGTTTCCTTATCTCGAGAGGGAAGAAGGATTGTTTTTGCTTTGCTGAGCTCACAGGGAATGAGGGAAAGCACTGTGAGATATAAGCAGTGTGCTTAATCATAGTCTGATCCTGAGAGCAGTGTTCTTTCTGCATGATCTCCTGCTTCTACACTAGAGACATTTCTTGATGATGTATGTTGTGTACTTGTGTGACTGCAAAGTGTTGAGGTATAACAAAATATGAAGCAGTTATGATGAAATGATAACTTTATTTTATTTTCCTCATCTTCTTTTTCCACCTGATCCCTTAGAATGGTGTTTTAACAATTAAGCTGGGTGGAGACCTAGGAACCTACGTGATCAACAAGCAGACCCCAAACAAGCAGATCTGGTTATCTTCACCATCCAGGTATGTTCAGAAGTCAGAGTCTCTCTCGTTGCTAAGCTTGTTTGAAACACGACATTGTGGACATTTAAGGAGTGTCCCTCTTGTGCGTTGGTGTCTGTGGAAGCGAATGAGACAGCATGTCTCATTCTCAGTAGGGAAGTTTACTCTGCTCATGTTAACTTCTGTCTGCTGGTCATTTGGCTGCTACAAGCAGATGTTGGGTTGTTAACAGGATCTGAAGTGAAAAGCTTATAACTTCTCAGAACCCGGCCTGGACAGTTTTTCTCTGTGAAATCATTGTCCTGCCTTTTAAAAAGCCACTTTTGATATCATAGTGTCTGAATAAGCTGCACTTTGTCTTCAAAGCAAGTGAAAGTTTGACTTCTAGTTTGTTTTGAGCATCTCAGTTAAAGGTTTAGTTGAATTCCACTTGCAGAATCAGGCCGTGTGCTCTGTGGAGGTGGGAGGGCACTTTAAGCTGCTGTTCCAGGCATTTAATCCTGGCTGCCTTTTCCACTGATGGGCTCTCAGCCCAGAGCAGCGGTTCTCAATCTATGGGTCACGACCCATTGGGGGTCCAACAGCCCTTTCACAGGGGTCGCCTAAGACCATCGGAAAACACATATTTCCGATGGCGATTCATAACAGTAGCAAAATTACAGTTATGAAGTAGCAACAAAAATAATTTTATGGTTGGGGGATCACCACAACATGAGAACAACATAAAGGGTCACGGCACTAGGGAGGTTGAGAACCACTGGTCTAGTGGAATAAAAGGATGTGTTGAAATGGCCTGCGCTGCCTCTCAGGGCCTGAGGACATGCCAGGAGAGAGGGCCCCTCATCCTTCTGGCTGCTATTGAGTGGATATAAGAAAGTAAAAGAGACACCCACAAAAAGCTCTTAGACCAACCTTGGTGGGTCATTCATTAGCACTTCCAAAGAGAACAAGTTGACTGTGATTTGGAAAAGGCCCAAATATAACTAGACATAGAATTCTTTGAAAGCCTAATGGTGTTTACATTTTAAAGAAATTTAACTCACCCTGGTCAGGTGGCCCAGTTGGTTGGAGCATTGTCCTGCACACCAAAAGGTTGTGGTTCAATCCCAGTAGGGGTGCATACAGGAGGTGACCTATCAGTGCTTCTCTCTCTCACATAGATATTTCTCTCTCTCAAAATCAATGAAAATCTATCCTCAGGTGAGGATTAAAAAAATTTTTTTCAATCTTTATCGTTGAAAGTATTACAGATCTCTCCCATCTCCCGCTTTCCCCCCATTGACCCTCCCCACTCCCCCCTTCCTCCTGCCTTTGCTATAAAATAATTTAACTCTTCACCTGCCCCCACCTTGATCTCATTCCTAGACAGTTAATATACTATTTGTCAGTTTAATTGAGCGTTATGCCTCCTTCATCCCAACCTTATCTAGGGGGTATATTATAATTCAACAAAAACAACTACAGAAACAACTCTTCGTTTCTAGCAAGGCCCTTCACAAACTGGTTGCCTTTTAGACTTGGCTTCTTTGAATTTGAGGGCTTTTGCCCTGTGTGGGCCAGTCGGCTATTCACTCTGGCCTCGGGCACTGGTCCCAACCCTAACCGTGGCCATTTCTGTCCTTCGTCTTCAGAGTCCAGCCATCCGCTCTGGGGCGCTGTGTCCTTGTAAATGCGGGCGGGGCACCAGGACAACTGTGTGGTGCCGCTAAAGAATCCGTGCTGTGTCTGGAAACTGGAAAGGTCCATGTCGTATTTGGACACAACTACCAGCAATATGATCCTACCCCAGGCATGTTTAGAAGCATATACTTCTGGATAATAATAGTTCCTGGAAATTCCAAATTGTACTTGTTGAAAATCTGTAATTCACGACGGGAATCTGGAGAGAAAATCTGCCAAGCAGCCATTTCTGTCACAGATACTGTGTCCTCAAAAAAAATTATTTTCCATTCCATTTTTCACATGGGTCCAGAATCATCTTTCATGGGGCTGCTTTTGTGAGATTTGGGGTTTTTTGTCAAGTTGACTTTTCAGGTCCCATGGAAACAGTGGCCTTTCCCGGCCACCTTGCCCCCCGAGGAGGCTGCAAGATGGAATAAAGGAGGGGTCTGGACGGGCCCCTGGACGGCAGCGCCTGTGCGCGGAGCCCCCGGAGCAGTGGAGGGCTGGAGGCTGCCCGTCCTCCGCTGTAGTAATCGGAGCCCGGGACAAGGGAGCGTCCTCTGGCTCTGGGCTGGGCGGTCAGTTCTTTCTGTATGGCCAGATGGTCTGTGTGCAGCTGTGTGTGCAGGTGAAGCAAATGCCTCAGTCCCTTTTGTCTCCATTATTAGAAAAATGTTCTAACCCTAGCATCTGGTTGATAATACAGCAATCCTTCATGTTTTACATCCCAAAAGATGCTTCCCGTCTAAGCTTCCCTCCATCCTGGCAGACTCCTCCCAATCTCAGACTTTGGAAAAATCGTTCCCTGGGTGCACAGGTGCCCCTTTTCATGGGCTCCCAGTGTCCTCTGCTCTTGCCTCCTTCAAGGCATCATTGTGGACCATCCTTATCTGCTGCATGTCCGCCCTCTCCACCTGGCGGAGAGGAGGTGGAATTAATGGGCACACGTTGTATACATCTGGAATAACAAGATGTGGCAAAACCTCACTCCACCTGTGTCCACGCACCACCGCATTCCCGGCAGGAGTTGCACACACTGCTCTTGTTCCCTGGGTGAGCCTGAGGTGGCCGAAGTAGGGTATCACACTCATGTTCATGGATTTAAATTTGAACTAAGGAAAACACTTTTCAAAATAATAATATAGGTGATTTCCAGGGGCTGGGGGGAGGAAGGAATTGGGAGGAACTGCTTAGTGGGTACGGAGTTCCCTCTGAGGTGATGAAATGCTTTGGAACTAGGTAGAGGTGGTGGTGGCACAACATCATGAATGTACAAACATAATGATAACATATACAAGAGACAAACCATTCAGTGGTACACAAATGACCATAATTTAAAAACACGGCTCTGATATAGCAGGTAGCTTATGTAAGTCGGGAAAAAACACATCAGAGTGTGATACACGAAGACTCGTCTCTAGAGTTCAGATGTCTTCAGGTCTTGAGAATTATTCTCTGAATTATTCCAGTGTAACTATTGTTAAATAGAAAGACCCTGAGACAAGAAGTCAAATATATGGCTTGTTAGGCATTACTTTCTAGAGTTTCACTCCAGTCAGTATTTTGGTGGCAACCTCTGTGGAATCAGTGTTTGTTCTGAAGTGCTGTCCTCTGGACAAACTGTGTGTTTTGTCTTGCAGTGGACCCAAGCGCTACAACTGGACTGGGAAAAACTGGGTCTACGCCCACGACGGTGTGTCCCTGCATGAGCTGCTGGCCACAGAGATGACCAAAGCCTTAAAAACCAAAGTGGACTTGTCTTCTCTGGCCTATTCTGGAAAAGACACTTGATGCCCATCCCAGTTCTAAAGACATTAGAAGCTATAAAGCCAAGACCCCAGCTTCCTTCTACAGCTGAATGTCTAGTTTATTCCAGTTCTGCTTTTGAGGCCAGTTGCATTGTGGGTAACAGCTCTGGGAAAAGAATACGTCACCTCTCACCCTACCTCTGACTTCGGATTTTCAATTTCCATAGTGTTTTTGGATTTATTGTCTGATTTCCTCCCTCACATGATGTCTGTATCTTTATAATGCCTGTATATCCATACGTTTATATATGACCTTGCAACAAAGAACAATGATAAGGAAATATTCTGAGGAGAAGTGAATTGGCTCCACTATTCATTCTTTGAAGGACTTAGTGCAAAACTGCATGAAGAGGGACTGGCCGATCTCACTATTCTGTCTCAAAATGAGACGCATTAAAAAGTAGCCTAGAAATGTTCCCACGCCTCTGGAACGTAAACACTTCGAAGCCTGTTGCTACTGAAGTGCCAGTGTCAACTCGGGAATTCTCAAACCCAAGCCCATTCTCTGTGTGCTTTGTGTCTGCCAGGGTGTATGTAGCCTGCAAGGGTGACTCGGAGGTATGGTGCTGTTTCTCCCATACGTACATATATATATGTGCATGCACAGTTAAATATGTGTGTATGTGTATATTTTTTTAATACATATTTTTTTAAATCTTAAGGTCAGTATAGAATCAACTGCTGCAGTTCAGGTCTGAGAATGCAGTATATCTCCCAACGACAAGAGCAGAGAAAACCATCTCCATTAGCTCGTGCATATTGTATAATAAATGCACTAAGGGAGCTGAGGAAGCTCTCAGTTAACTGTGAAGGGCCATCCAAGTAAGAGAGATGTTTGTGTTGATGCAAAGAACCCTAGTTTACACTTGGCTCAGCCCAAAGTGCTGTCTGTCTCTGGGCAGGTTTCTTGCACTCGCTGGACCTCATGTAAAATGAGATGGTTGAACTGGACAGAGTATAGTGGATTCCCAGTTCAGACATGCAGCATTCCCGTCAGGCAGCCTAACAGGCTAGCTTTTGTTACCCCTGGCAGATGAGGCGATGACAGGAACAATTTTTTTAAGCTATAGAGTAAAATAAATGGTTATTAGAATTCCTTGAATGTCCATTGAGTTCGTGTTCAAATAATAACCATCCTTTATTGTGCCCTTGCTGTGCTAAGCCTGTGCTCTAGTTTGAATGTTTATGTTCCCCCAAAATTCATCTGTTGAGTCCTTATCCCCGAAGGGATGGTATTAGAAAGTAGGCGTTTGGGAAATGATTAGGTCTTAAGGGGTGAGCCCTCACGAATGGAATTGGTCTCCTTATCAAATAAACTCCAGAGAGCTCCCTCCCTCCTACCATGTGAGGACACTGCTGTTGATGGGCCAGGAAGTGGGCCCTCAGCAGACACTGAATCTGCTGGGGCCTTGATCTCAGACTTCCCTGCCTCCAGACCTGTGAGAAGCACCTTTCTGTTGTTTGTAAACCATCCAGCCTGTAGTATCTGTTCAGCAGCCTGAATGGACTGAGACAGCCCACAACACTGTGTGACCTCATTTTAATACCTTCGGAACATTAAAACTCATCCAACCGTATAGCCATTATTTTCTTACTAAAAGATGTATTAAGTTAACAATAAAACAATGTAAACACATGTTCAATGGGTATTTAAAATATTTTTTCAGAAATAAAATTGTTGTTTAGTCTGGTGGAAATTTTTAAGTGTGATAGGTCAGAGTCAGTGAGAAAATAAAATTTGTGTGTGTGTGTGTGTGTGCGTGCACGTGCACACGCACATCTTGGTCTTATTTTAATGGAAATTTCATTGTACCTCAGTTGGAACTTGGTTAAATGGTACATTCATCTATCTGGACACAACATAAAACTTGGGTATTTAACCAGGCTGCTGTAACGTGAAGAGGAAGGCAGGGAATCTGCTCTTGGTGCTCTCCTTATGGGCCAGCCTTTCAGGCCTGTTGACTTTTACTTTACATACAATTCTAAGGCCTGGGCGATTCCCATGGAAAGGACTGCAAGCACGAGAATGGCCACCAGGGGGCAAATGAAACTCGTGCTCTGAGCAGCAAACTGGAAAAGCACCACCATGTGGCACCAGTTGCTCCCCAGCTGCCCCTCAGACCCTGGGGCATCATCAGGTTCCACACATGTGAAGAACTTTTAAGGAAAATGTAAACATTCAGTATAACAGCGGCAGGAAAATGTGTAATATAATTTTAGAAAGCTTTCAGTTATATTTAGCTTCCAAAGTGGATAGCCCCTTGCCCTGGCTGGTTTGGCTCAGTGGTTGGAGCATCAGCCTGCTGTCTGGAGAGACCCGGGTTCGGTTCCCGCTAAGGGCACGTACCTCAGTTGCAGTCTGGCCCTGGCCCTGGTTGGGTCATGCGGGTGGCAGCCACTCGATGTGTCCCTTTCAGGTCGATGTTTTTCTCTCTCTCTCTGTCCCTCCCACTCTACCTGAACAAAAAATGGAAAAATGTCCTCGGGTGAGGATAAAAATAAAACAGTGGATAGACCCTTAACCAGTAAAAAATAAAACTATCTAGAACGACTTATAAACCTCTCTCCGAAGATACAGAGAAGAACTGGGGTGTATAAAAGAGAACCTGAGTTTTTTCATCAGAATTTTAAAAATTTAACCCAAACTCTGGCACTTACTTGCTTATTGACACTAGCCTCTGTTTTCTTATCTGTACAATAGTTTGGTGCTTGGGCCCACAGGCAAAGCATTCAGTACATGACGTATATTATCACATGTGCAGCATAATTCCATATTCAGATTTGGAGTTTTCCCCTAAAGTGTTATTTATGACATTCTCTGCTCACCTCAGACTTAGTCAAAATGCTCATTTTGTGACCCAGTTAATGGATTCTGTTTCCATAGAATAGCTCATGCTCCCTACAATGCTGAGTTTTATTCCCATCTTCCACATAGTTTCTAAAGACAATTTAGCCAACTTTAAGGTTAATCGTTTATATTAAAGAGTAGGTTTAGTCCTGGCCGGTTTGGCTTAGCGCAGTAGCTCTCAGCCTTCCTAATGCCACGACCCTTTCATCCAGTTCCTCATGTCTATGTGGGCGTATCTGCATGTGGACCTGCCTGGAGAGGACAGAGGAGCAGCGTCTCGGTTCCTAAGACATCGGAAATATGTGTTTTCCGAAGGGGTCGCGACCCACAGGTTGAGAACTGCTGGCTTAAGGTTAGCATGTCGGCCTGCGGACCGGAGGGTTGTAGGTTCAATCCCTGGCCCCAGTGGGGGACGTGCAGGAGGCAGCCAATCGTGTGTCTCTCTCATATTAATGTTTCTCTGTCTCCCTCCCTCCCTCCCTCCCTTCCACTCTATCTAAAAACCAGTGGGAAAATGTCTTTGGGTGACGATTAACAACAACAAAAAAAGTAATTAAAATAAAATAAAATCAGGTAAAAAATAAATAAATAGTAGGTTTTCAATATATTTCTCAAGCTATACCTGCTCCCAAATTCTAATAACCTCATTTCCACCTTTAAGGAACAACCAGGTTTACAAATAAAATTAGTGTGGATTATCTGTACAAGGTTACCAAGGAAAGCTGGCTCCCCACCCTCGAGGTAGACACTAAGATTAGAATAGTTTTCGGTTGTGTCCAGTTGAATTCTTGGCATGGATTTATCTTTTGCAAATGAAAACACCTACATACCAGACAGAAGGAGAGGCACAGGTATGAAATTTCATGTAAATTTACCCTGCTGTTCAAAACTAGGGCTTAATGACAGTCTTACTTTGTATAGCTATGTTAGAGTAAGAAATGCCTTAAAATCCTTGGTTTGACTTAATTAGCCATAACAGCCTACGGATCCCAATTAATTGCCCCTTTAGAATATGTAAAACAGATCATTTATATCCTGATGTCTACTACAGAAATAGACTCTGAGCTCCACAGTTCATCTTCTCTGGATGCATTATTTAAGATATGGAATGCTTCACTTCTCGACAGAGTGGATATAGAGGGAATGTACCTCAACATAATAAAGGCCATGTATGACGAATATGACGAACACACAGTGAACATCATACCTAACAGTGAAATGCTGAGAACCTCTCCTCTGAGGTCAGGAACAAGACAATGATGCCCACTTTTGCCACTTTCCCATTAATCCTCACCCGAGGATATTTTTTCCGTTGATTTTTAGAGCGTGGGAGGGAGTGCGAGGAGAGAAAGAGAGAGCGAAACATCAATGTGAGAGAGACACACAGATTGGTTGCCTCCCACATGTGCCCTGACCAGAGCTGGGGATCGAACCTGCAACCAGGTATGTGCCCTTGACTGTGAATCAAACCTGTGACCCTTTGCTTCACGGGCTGATGTTCTAACCACTGCTCAGGGCACTTTTGCTACTTTTACTTAACATAGTATTAAACGTCCTAGTCAGAGGGACTAGGCAAGAAAAAGAAGTAAAATGCATCCAAATCAGAAAGGATGAACTAAACTGTACATGTGCAGATGACCTGATATTGTATAGAGACAACCCTAAAGACTACCAAAAACTGTTAGAACTAATAAGTTCATTAAAGTGGCAGGATAGAAAAATCAATATTCAAAATTCTGTTGTATTTCTATACATTGAACTAGCAAAAAGACCAATTAAGAAAACAATCCCATTTACAATAACATTAAAAAGAATAAAGCATTTAGGAATAACTTTAACCAAGGAGGTAAAAGACATGTACACTGAGAACTATAAGACATTGATAAAAGAAATTGAAGGTACAAATAAATGGAAAGCTATTTCATGTTCATGAATTGGAAGAATTAGGATTGTTAAAATGCTCTTACTACCCCAAAGTGGCCTATAGATTCAATGCAATCCCTATCAAGATTGTAATGGCATTTTTCACAGAAAGAGAAGAAACAATCCTAAAATGTGTATGGACCCACAAAAGACCCCAGTAGCCAAAGCAATCTTGAGAAAGAAAAACAAAGCTGCCCTGGCTGGTTTGGCTCAGCGGTTAGAGCGTCGGCCTGTGGTCCAGAGAGACCCGGGTTCGGTTCCCGCTAAGGGCACGTACCTCGGTTGCAGTTTGTCCCTGGCCCTGGTTGGTCGTGCGGGTGGCAGCCACTCGATGTGTCCCTTTCACGTCGATGTTTCTCTCTCTGTTCCTTTCTCTCCCTCCCACTCTACCTGAACAAAAAATGGAAAAATGTCCTCAGGTGAGGATAAAAAAAAAGGAAAAACAAAGCTGGAGGCCTCACACTTCCTGATTTGACACTATATCACGAAGCTACATCGAAACATAGTATTGGCATAAAATAGACACATAGATTAATGGAACAGAATTGAGAGCCCAGAAATAAAACCACACATATATGATCAATTAGCTTATGACAAGGAGCCAAGAATATACAATAGGAAAAGGATAGTCTTTGAATAAACAGGGCTAAGAAACTTGGACAGCCACGTGCAAAGGAATGGAACTACCTTGCACCATATACAAAAATCAACTCAAAATGAATTAAAGACTTGAACCTAAGACCTGAAACCGTAAGACTCGTAGAAAAAAAACACAGGAGCTAATCTTGACATCTATGTTAGCAAAGGTTTTTTTTGTAATTTTTTTCTTTTCTTTATTGATTTTAGAGACTGAGGAAGGGAGAGGGAGAGCTAGAAACATCGATGAGAAAGAACATCAATTGGCCGCCTCCTGCATGCCCTGCCCTGGGGATCGGGCCCACAACCTGGGCATGTGCCCTGACCGGGAATCGAACTAGTGACCTCTTGGTGCATGGGTCGATGCTCAACCACTGAGCCACACCAGCTGGGCTGTTTGTTTTTTGTTTTGGAATTGACACCAAAGCAAAGGCAACAAAATAAAAAATAAACAAGTGGGACTACATCAAACTAAAAAGTTTCTGCACAGCAAAGGAAATCAAGCTACAACATAGAAGAAAATACTTGCAAACCACATGTCTGATGAGGGGTTAATATACAAAGTATATAAGGAACTCATACAATTCAATAGCAAATAACACATTTCAAAACAGGTGAAGGACCTAAAATAGACATTTCCCCATAGATAGGTCAGAGAAGTTATGTGATAATAGCTTTAATTCTTCCAGGTAGTTAAAGAGAGGGGCAGAAGATTCTCTTGAGCCTGTGGCTAAAATTGCCTTGAGCTCAAAACAATCTGCATACCACAGAGGCACATCTTGGGGTGGCTTGTTCTGAACCCCTACAGGAACTACCACACTATGCTGTCCTACTAGCGATCCCCAAATCGCACCCTGATTTCCTGAATTTCTAGAACTGGCATGAGACTCCAATTCCAGACCCCCATAGGCCCTTCACTGCACCCCCTAGCTGTCATCGAGGACCCTCTCCCCATTTAAACTTCCCAATTATTTCTTCCCCTTTTAAGGGCCCTTGGGCCCTGTCATCCAATGAATTGCATCACCTGCATTGTCCTGCTTCCCCCAGATCTAGTAGCCAGTGCTTGGAACCCAAAGGGACCCTTCTGTACAGCACCGGGAATGGAGGAGGGAAGAGAGAAGAGCCTTCGCATTCATCTGTTCTCTGGGCGTGCTGTCCACCAAATAATGGGCCTGTCCAAGGATGTGACTCCTTTGTCCTGACCAGGTGAGTGCCCAACCTTGGGAGGAG